CTTTACTTCCTCCTCTTTGCCACCTTTCTGGTTGACTAGATGATGAATTAAGAGGCTATAATAGACTGACCTTCACCAGCCAACCAACCTATATATGAGGCAAACACACCTCCTCTGACAAGCCGCCTTACCTTCTGCCTCACTGTTAAACATCCCTCTGCCTGTTATTGATAGTCTAGTGTTTGCCTTCCTCGGATCCTGGTTCCTAAGAACTTAAGGTAAGCATCAATATCAAACTCTCTTTTGCTCGGTGGTGACATCATCAATATTGCTGTTGAACCATGGAACCACCCGGCGACATATTTAAAGGGATGGCGGTCGTGGAGATTGGAAAGACCCTCATCAAGCAAAATCTAACTGTCAAAGCCTGGCCATATTATCTAGATATCATCACCACACATCCAAGCAATAAAAGAACGAAAATACCGGAAGTCCGAAAGAGGCCCCGTCGAAGCACAAGAGCCCAGGATGTGCTACCGAAAATATTACAAGTACAAGTGTTGTGCAGTCGAGAAGGACGTCGACTGGGTAGCCTGCGAAGACCGACCACCAGGCATGAACTGCCCTAAAGCACAAGAACATAACTGGCAGGGTCCGTATGCGCAGTATCTGGGCGAGATAGAAGGACCTTGCTGGAACTGCATGTGGGAATCATACAACGACGGAGGAAAAGCAAAAAGAGAGTTTATTGCGAATTTTGGAAAACGCAAGCCAGGTGAACAACCGTGGGAGAGCGACGAGGAGAGAAAAGACCAGCGTATGGCCGGGGAAGACTGGTATTGGGCCATGCGGAGGAGACAGAAGAAGCAACGCGAAAAGGAGAGGCGGAAGCTGGAGACCGAGGCCGGAAGGGTGACCCATAGCACCGTCCAGTGGCCCGAGGGGGTCGAGGGAGAGGGAACTTCCGGAAGCAGCACTCCTGGGACGTCCGGAAGCAGGCCCGATAGCCTGCCAGAGAGTCAGCATGCCAGCCGGCCGTCGAGCAGATATGCGTTCTCCGTAGCCGGCGCGCAGACACCGTCGAGACAGCTGCCGAACTGAACGCTCCATCCGCATGTCACGCACACACACACTCCGTACCCCGTTCACGCACCCCCTATGGCCGCAGTTTGCCATCCTTCGTCGTTCTAATCCTTGATATCAAGCGTCCTATTGCATGACCAGACCGCATGGAGGGGAGAGAGCCCCTTTACGAAGCGCATCCTTATCCCTAGGCTTTCCGTTAGTTAGTTAACTACTTAGTATCTCTATCAAATGCATTTCACTTACCTTCCATAGCGTCGCATCCACTGTAGCCATCCTCATCGACCTCTTCAGGTCCTTTCCACCGTCCTCATACTCCATAGATAACTAGTTAGCTATCAAGTGTCGTTGGCTCAAAGAAAAGAAATCCCGAAGATCTTTAAAAACGGCTTTTTCCTTTTCAGCCGCGCCAAGAACTTTCAACTTCCAACTTCTCGACGTCAGCGCGAAGAAGCAAAACATCGTCAACTCGTCGTTATTCTATCTAGCTGCAGTATTCAGTCAGATGTAGGAGTTTGTATATACCCGGGACACGGCAAGATGCCAGCTGGAAGACCTCTATCCATCATATCAACGACAGGATGGCGTCCAGCGTCTTCGCGGCTTCGACTTCACCGTCGACAGCTCCATCTGGCACCCCCGTTCCTCCTAGACACCTATATCCCACGATACCATCTACTCTCCTCAGTCGATGCAGCTAAGAAGCGGTCACATGCATATGCCCATCTGCGGAACTGCAACCTGTGCCCGCGGCTGTGTGGGGTGAACCGCTACGAGAAGACCGGCCACTGTCTGATCGGAGCCGAGACGGTGAAGGTCAATGTCATCGCGCCGCATTTTGGAGAAGAACCTTGCATCCAGGGATGGAATGGCAGTGGCTCCGTCTTCTTCTCGGGATGTAATCTGAGATGCGTATTTTGCCAGAATCATGTACGTTTTCACATTACTCGTCGTTGTGGTTGATAGTGCGTGGCTAAACGTCGGCTCGCAGGACATTGCTCATCAGCGAAACGGGTTTGACCTCACACCTGAAGAGCTTGCTGAGTGGTATATGAAACTCCAAACTGTTGGAAATGTTCATAATATCAACCTTATTACTCCGGAACATGTCGTTCCTCAGGTTGTCTTGTCAATTTTAAATGCACGAGACATGGGGTTAAATATTCCGATTATATACAACACGTCTTCATTTGACTCTCTTGACTCGCTGAAGCTTCTAGATGGGCTGGTAGATATATACCTGCCTGACTTTAAGGTATGGAAGGACAGTACGTCGAAAAGGCTGCTTAAGGCAGATAACTATACAGCCACAGCAATGGAGAGCATCAAGGCAATGCATGCTCAGGTTGGAGATTTATCATTTACAGCAGATGGCGTTGCGAAGCAAGGGGTTCTTCTCCGTCACCTTGTTATGCCTGGAATGGAAGACGAGGGAATAGAGATTGTCAAGTGGCTCGCCAACAATGTGTCGAAGGATATGTACGTGCATATCATGGAACAGTATCATCCAGATGCACATGTTGGAAAGAAGAAGAGGGCAAAAATCAAGGATTCTGGGGCAGAAGGGCAGACAGTACGGTACAGTGATATAAATCGACATGTCACGGACAAGGAACTCGGTGCCGTACAACTTGCCGCCAGGGAAGCTGGCCTCTGGAGATTCTGTGAGCCCGCAGAACACGGTGGGTTCCACCTCTAAACTCTTCGTTTTGTACATAAGCAACAAGAGGAAAGGCGGATTACATGAGGGCAGAAGCCTGACGGTAGCTACTATCGGGCCACCCACGAAAATTGTCCTGAAATAAATATGTAAATATCGGAAGCATAATTCTATTAGCCTCACAACCTAATACCTGAATTGATAATAGCTACCTCACCATTCTTCGGGCACAGTAAATTCCCAAAGCTATCAATGACGACTAATTGCAACGCCCCAGGGAGCAGCCAGTCCTTGGGTAGGAAAAAATGTTTCCGATAGGAATCCTCATCACTACCCAATTCCCATGTACATAACCAATATTGGTGGTTAAGGAAGACAAGTCGGCCCTGAAATATGCCCACCAGTCTACTGACATGGGCTGAAAGCCGGACCAGATGCTTTCTTTGCAATTGCGCATCGTTTGTATCAATTATCTCGACTCGCCTGGACGAAGTTGGATAAAGCCTGGAGCCGCCACCAGATCCACGATAGACTGTACCTCCGACGACAATGTAGCGATCTTTAATCTGAAAAACATGGTCTGGAGCCTCGAAGGGAGTATCCATTGAAGGAAACATATCTCTTGCGTCTTCTAAAGTGTCTCTGATACTGATATTGTCCATAACCTGGGCAAGACCTTCAGTGGCTTTGCCCTTGAGAGAGACGCGCTCTTTGGGAGAGCTAGGAGGCGTGGCCCTGGTCAGTGTACTCCAAGTGTAAATCTCTTGTCTATTCCCTTGGATGCAGATCAAAAGTTTTGCGTCCTTTGGATGACAGATCCACCGTCTTCCCTGGCTGCGACCCTTGTGCTCGAGTTCTAAAATTTTCGACTTCGATTTAGTGCTCCAGAGTGCATCCATCGCAGAGCTCGAAATGAGTAAAAACTCCTCAGACGCGCTGAAGAGCAGTTGCGTTACAGCCACCTCTAGATATAGATCAAGCAATGGGTATACCGCCCATTTCTGCGGTGCTTGGGCTGTCAGCTTTCCTAGCCGCTTTGCAATGACCCGGCCTGAATCGTCGGCAGAAGCAATGTATTTCTGGGAGGGTGACCATGCCATGCTAACAACCGACGATATGTCTGAGTGCCCGTATAGTTTGCGAAGTCGTTTAGAGGTCTGAGTTTCATAAATCACGACGCTCCCGTCTTCCTTTCCAGAGCAATGATAGAGAGTCTTCTCACTAGAAATCAAGGCCGAGATCTGTACTCGGCTATTGTCGTCTGAAGAAACAACGGGATCTGAATACAGGGTATCATGGGAGCTCATATCCTCTCGATTCAGATCATCAGGCCGTACCAAAGCAGCAGGCTCCCAGACGTTGCATAGAGTACCGCGAATGTCATAGAAACGTTGAGCATCCGGCGCAAAGGCAATATCCTGAACGAACTCATCATATTTCATTTGATAGATGAGTCTGAACTGGCCTGTAGACCAGACACTTAAACTTCCACTGAAGTCGCTAGTGAGTAGTAAATTCCCATCTGAGCTAACTGCCATTTCCCGCGCCCCTATGTGGGAATGCTCCGTCTGGGTATCATCGTCGATATTCCAGTCCACAAGTTTGGTATCCTGGTATAATATCAGAACATTGGCGGAGTCGGGCTGCCAAATAACCGCTTCAGGCGAATTCCATACATCCTCATCATTTTTATAGATATCGTCTTGCCGAATACACCGAAGCGGGCGTTGCTTCCGACGACTGATGTGCCAGATGAATACGGGCCGGCCCCGATACGCAATGGCAATTCTTTTAGCATCATTACTAAACGCCATAAATCGGGGGCAACTATGTTCTAGCCTTGATGTATCATAGGCTTCGAAACACCATAGTTCCTGTGAAGTCTCTAAGTCAATGCATTGGATTGTGCAGTCGTCATATGCAACCAACAGTTCGTTGTCATTTGAGCTGAATGCCAAAGACATCACACGGCCTTCATGAGACTTCGGGATTTTAAGTATCTCATTCCCTAGTCCAAGATCCCATACCCGGATGGTTTCAATTCCCGCAGATGCTATTATGTTTCGAATTTTAGCTGCCTTGATACAGCTCACCCATTCGTTATGGTGTAATCTATTATATTCTATACAGGTCTCAGCGATCCATATCACTAGAGTTCCACTACCCTCAAGCAGCGTTATGAAGTAATTGTCCTTGCAAACGACAGTAGATGCGGTTTCATCTCCACCCATGGTCAATCTTGCTAGGCAGTCATCCCAGTTACCAGATGAGATGCCCTTTACGTTCATAGATCCGCGCATCAAGTGTTGGAACGTCTGGCTTAGCATTGTCTCACTCGGGCAGAATGGGATGATGTATTTGTAGATAGCTGATGGGCTTTCGACAAGATAAGACCCAAATCGTCCAACCAAGCGAATAAGGTCATTAGCCCACTGGATTAACTCCTGGTCCCGACAGGATTTGAAGCTGGTAGGGGGAGACTCAACACGGCGGTTTATTGCTCTCTTTGCATATGACTTGAGCTGTTGAGCAGAGCGAGTGATAATCTGAAGGTCACCGGTTAAAGAGACGGCATTGATCCAGATTAGACAAAATCGCTCCAGGAAGTCAAAAACGGCAGCGTGTAGTTCCTCAGACTCCGCAGAAGCACAACTTATGTGATAGGCCCAATACTTCACGGAGTATAACAGAAAAGGAAACTCCGTGTAAGGGTCCTGTTGAATTGATTCCCTAGTTTGTTGGAGCGAAGCAAACCTCGTTCGCCATTTGGTATCGGAGAGAAAGTCCATGCAGACCCTTGCGATTCTCTCATGACCCTTCCTGTTGTCGATGGAAATAGGTAGATTTGCATCCTTAGAGGTTAAAAACTGTTGGGCTGTTTGATGGATTAAGGTCACAGATGACTTCTTTGTGATGATGAAGTTTCCACAAATTTGGCTGATGGTAATCTTCAAGTTATAGAAACTACCGAATTTAGACTTGAGAGCCACGGCTAGTTCCTCGATATCTAGGGGTCGAAAGGAGCATACACCCCATGTCAATATTTCTGTTGCCATTTTTCTGAGATGGGTAGGCTGATCTGCAACAATCCGAATCATTCGCTCATACATATGTTCCATCCCTTCAGGCATTTCCGCAAGTGCTCTTTCAATATCAGCATCAGTGTGCCAGTTATCCTTGATTCTTTCTAGCGCCAGTTTTGCCCAGAGAAAGGAACCTGACGCTTTGGATAAAACCTTCTGGATGATGGAGTCCTGTTCCCCGTCATCTGGGAGGATTCTATGCAGTGTGGTGGACACATATGATCGAATGTCATCCATGGTATCACTAGTTTGAATCTCTTCATGATATATATGGCAACGATCAAAGGATAAAGCAGCCGACAAGTCCCTTGTTTCTCTACTCACCAGGATAACTTTAATGGGTGTCGCGGAATTGATCTTGGAAATAAGTGTCACAAGTGTTGATGGGGATTCAGCCTCATCTATGCCATCCAATACCCAAAATAGCTGCTCCCCGAGACTGAGTCGAAAAAGGAGGCCCTCAAATATTTTCTCCCAAATGACGTTATGTTTCTGGGAAGAGAATAAAATCCCGCCGCTTCGATTCATTTCTAGAAGTCTAGAGCGAAAGTCATCGTATACTTCTGCAATTTGAAATGCGATTGACCGGAGAAAGTAAGAGATGGTGCGAGTATCATGTTGCTCTGCCTGAAAAAAGTGATATTGGCAGGACGCAGGAAACAGACCTTGGCTGAGATAGTCAATGATGAAACTGGACAAAGTTGTTTTCCCTGTTGCTGGTAAACCTGTTAACCACAGAATGGATAGACCGGGGCTGTTATCCTCAGTCCAGCGCTTGAATTTTTCTTTTTCAAGGATCCAACGGCAAGAGCCCGGCTGGACTCGCTGTCGAATAACCTCCAAATCGCTGCCAACCCCTTTAATACCAAGAACATTTTCAAGTGTAATTGGGCTAGGGCTTAGTATCTCTGTTGGCTTTTGCTTTGTACTTTTTTTCTCTTTAGATCAAGAGAAGACACATTGTGTGGGATGTAGATTAGCTATCCATCGGAGAACTGCGGTTTAATAAAGAATGACATACGCAGCTGCTTAATCCTGTACACAAACATCCGCAGAACGTTTCGGACATCACGATAGTTCCCATCGTCAGGGTCTGGGAATTTTATAATGCCATGATGATCAGCATAGAGCGGTGCCGAGGTTTCTGTAGGGTATCCCAGAATTGCTGATTCCTTTTCAATTATCTAAAGCGGTTATATGGGGAAAATGGTAAGTCTAGTCCCAGTGAACTACCTCTCTGCTCTCTCTCTCTCTCTCAAACCACGTACCATTATTTTCACTCCAGGAGAAACGGTAGTCTTGAGAGTTTCATAGAACGAAACCAAATCCAGGTCGCCACAGATAGTCCGGAATTGTTCATTGATATCGCCCAGGGCCGCCGACCCCTTCTCGAGTTCGTTCACATAGACTTTTGATCCAATAGTCGGAGTTGCTCGAATGATATTCTTCAGTGTCGATGCAAAACTCGACCCTCCATGGGGGGTTCCCAAAAACACTATTCCGTATGTTTGGGAAATCATTTCGGAATATTGGTCATCAGTCCTTCCCAATATATACGCCTTGTTGACAAGTTAGATTGATGATATATATAGAATATATAGATATATGCGAGGTGTGTTGACTTGTATAGTTGAAAGAAATGAAATGCATCAAAAACCTTTTTGACAACGAGGCCACCCATCGAATGGGCCACGAAAATGAGCGGATTCTAGTTATATGACACCCCCTTGGTCAGTCGTGATTAACCAACTGTCTATCTGATTGCTCAATGCGATTGCATACCTCGCCAATCAGCCTGCTATTCTCATTTGCTCTATCTTGGTACATCTTAGCCCTGAACAGGAGGTCCTTTGCGAAATCCAGGATGCTCAACGTCGTGTCCTGGTGCGCAAAATGGGCATTGTATCCAAACGTAAACACTCTCGTCTCGGCCAGCCCGGCTTCGCTGCCCAGCCAGAGCGGCCAGAAATTGTCGACATCGCGATCGTAAGACCAGGTTCGCAGTGAGGAGCCGCCTAAGCCGTGGACAAAGATGAGGTCTGCAACAGGATTGTCACATTCATGCACCAGTGTTAGGCCCAGCGGGTCAACCGATCGCTTCCCGCTGTTTCTGCGAGATGGCTGGGAGCCAACGGTGAGAAATGAAGCTCCAGAGGTCGACAAGTGTCGCGGAAACGGAGGAGGGATCCTGTCAGGGCTCTCATTGCGCTGCAGCGATGTCTTGAAGGCGAACGCAGGCTCCGAGGCCCGTCGAAGGTCGGCAGCGCTGGAAGCATGATTTGCAGCAGTGCCCGGGTCTATCGAGAGTTCTTCCGGCTCGTCCACAGGAATCTGGTCTGCCTTGCTGCCCCTCAGCTTTTTGAACTGCGTCCTCACGGTTAGTTAGAAATCTGCGGTTGAAGCCGTCGGGGAGAGGCGAGTCCGTCTTCTGCATACCATCCTGTCCTGTCAACTAGTTAGTTAACTAACCAACTAACTGGACACAAGCACACACACCTCATGCACACGCATGCACACGCCGGGCAACTCGAGATGGAAATTCCGTTGCAGAGTCAACAATCATCTGGTGCCTATGGAGAGTGACCGGATAGCAACGATGTAAAAACATGACATTGGTTAACTAACTAGTTAACTATTCGATTGGAAGGCCTGGACGCAGTGCAGTCATCTTGGGCTCAGTCGCTTTCGCACCACAGGGACAGGGCTTTTTCTTCTCGCTGGTTCTCTTTTCTTTTCTCCATTTTGTCGAGGGTGCGTGTATCCCTCGTCTGCAGGCAAGGGATTCTTCGAGCAACAAGACAGCCGAGCCTTCCTGGACGAATCATACCCCTGGACGGAGTGACAACCTTGATACGGATGCGGGACCAGCCGCCTCCCCCCTCCGTTGGCGCTTCACTTGTTCTCTGTATTTTTGGGGACGGGCAATAACTAGTTTTATCTCCAGCCATCCCACGTTGAGAGTACAGATGGACGGATGTCTCATAATACCCAGTTTGCGGAGACCTTGAGCATAGATGGACCGACATTTAACCACGTTCTGAACATGGGAAGAGTAATTAGTTAGTTACCGAGTACGGAGTACAACGCACTAGAATGCCTCCCCCGTTGCTTTTGTTACCTCAAAATACCCAAATATACCCCTGTTACGGAGTGCATGAAGGTGCTAACTTGTTATGTAACTAAATACATGGGCGTCCAGTGCCCGGGCAAGTTCGATAACCCCTCTCTGACGGGGAAGGGGGTTGAATGCCGTCTCAAGCTTTGTCGAGACTGAACTCTCCTGAAAAAAGCACCACCATTGACAGCGTTGAAGGACAGATCGAAATTCTAATAAAACGCTACACGGAGTAGTACCTGTTGCGGACTTACAGTTACGGTTGTCCAGCTGCTTAGCTAGACGCCATCAGCTATGTCAACTGACCATCCCCACGTCAACCGCCCAAATAATGTTGCACCTGAGGAAGAAATCAAGCCGCCTAGCACATATGGGAGCTTTCCGCTAGACGAGGCAGTGATAGAGAGTAAGCTGTCACCTATCTATCGTCTATAACCATCTCAGCTAACCGGTTATGATGGCAAGGCCTCCCGGTCCCAGGCACAAAGCTCATATCGTCCCATAGTTATGGAATGTCTCTCTGGGGGCGATGTGCACGGATAGTTACTGAGTTGCCAGACGGCACGACCAAGAGATATTTCCTCAAGGCATGGAATACCAAATTATAGTTTATTTATCCAAGTTCTTTACGTTTACTGGCCTTGCTGACGATGAAGAAAAGGTAGCTAGAGGACCATCCGCCCCAGTTATGTGTGAGGGAGAGTTTGAGTCCATGAAAGCCATCAACGAAGTCTCACCAAGCCTTGCACCAAAACCATGGGCCCGTGGGAAATATAAAAACGAAGACAGTTACTTCATGCTTACAGATTTCCGAGATGTCGGGAAGCAGCCTCCAGATCCCGTCAAGTTCACTGCAAGACTGGCTGACATGCACATGAGGTCGGTTTCTCCGACGGGCAAATTTGGTTTCCATACCACTACCTGTCATGGCACCATAACTCAAGTCACCGATATATGGGAAGAGTCATGGGCAGTGCTTTATCGCAAACAGCTGGCGCATATGTTTGCCATGGACTTAGAAAAGCATGGATCGTGGCCCGAGTTTGAGCAGCTGTGTGACCTCATCTTGGAAAAAGTTATCCCCAGGCTTTTGGAGCCTCTTCAAAGTGAAGGGAGAAGTATCAAACCATGTCTTCTTCATGGAGATTGCTGGGATGAGAATACCGCAACAGACATGAAAACTACAGAACCGTTCATTTTCGACGCGGGCTCTTTCTACGGACACAACGAATATGACACCGGGAACTGGAGGGCCCCTAGACATCGTTTGAGCGGTAAACTATACGTGAAGAATTACAAGCGTAATTTCTTTCCTTCGGAGCCGAGTACGTATATGCCTCTTGGCCCAGCTACCCATGAAGATGAAGAAGTGACTATTGTTATATTCAAACTAACGCAATGTAGAGGAGGATTGGGACGGTAGAAACCTTCTCTACTCGCTGCGATTTAATATTGGAACATCCATTCTCATTCCCGGCTGCAACCAGCGGGAAATGTGAGTATTACTTCTCCCTTTTTCTCCCCTAAGAATAGTACTGAAACTATGCAGTGTTTTTGAGGATATGAAAGAACTGTGCCGTAGATACTGTCCCGAAGACAGCCCTACTCTCATTCAACGGGCACGAAACCCTGGAGGTACCGAGGAGGAAGAGGAAGAAGAAGAGGAGGAGGAGGAGGAGGAGGAGGAGGAGGAGGAGGAGGAGGAGGAAAGGAGAAGAGGAGAAAGGAAGGAAGCTGAAGACGAAGAAGAAGAAATAGAGGAGGAGGAGGAGGAAGAGGAAGAAGAGGAGAAAGAGAAGTCAGCAAAACATTGATTGTTCTGGATGGAAGTGAATTCGCTATCCAGAATAGTACCTTTTTTGCATCCTCCAATGACCTAACTATTGAGCATGGGAGCATATAGGGACAACAAGTAAATGTCCAGTTAGCCGGTCACCGGATTCGTCAAAAAGCTAGGGCTCTTCTACCTCCTCGTTAAAGTTATCAAATCCTAGGTAATCTCGAGTTTCCAAGTTCCGAATCCCCCTTTCGCCTCTCTCACCCATAAGATTGTCAATCAACTTAAAATCAGCCTCATCCATCTCGAAAAGTATATCAAAGTTTTCTATAATCCTCTTTGGATTATTCGTCTTGGGAATAACCGATATACCACGGCAGATGGTATGGCAGAGCACAACTTGAGCAACGGTTTTGTCGTATTTTTGGGCCAATCTCAGAAGCTGGTGAGGTTTTTTTTGAAGGTGTTAGTAACTACTTAATGGCCTGGTTTCAACTAGCTTGACCTATATACGGCATGACTTACTGTTGGGTCTTCCAGAGGCCCAGGACCATGTCTGCCTATGAGGACAGGTATAGGTGCTCCCCCCAGTGGGCAATGCGCTGTGACGTGGATATCGTTTTCCTGGCAGTATTCCACGAGGCCCTTTTGGGGGAAGTAAGGGTGAATTTCCACCTGGTTCACAACCGGATGGATTTTTGCTGTTTGGAGGAGCCTCTTGAGCTTTGGGCTCGAAAAATTAGAAACACCTGTCGTTTGCAGCCCTGTCTTAGCATGGAGATTATCATTGTTAAGTCGTTATCGCTCACCGATGAGTTTAGCTTTTCCTTTCTCTACGAGTTTCTCCATTGCTGCCCATGTAACATCATATGCTCTTGAAAGCGGCACGTCTATCACGGGCTGTCGAAGTACTTAGCATTGAATCATAATATAGCCACCCGAAGCCATAAAGATTAATCCATTAACTAGTTACATACCTTTCCGTCGGGGGTTCTCTGGGTGGCATATCCATCCTTAATTGCATATGCATATGGAAAATGCATTAAATACAAATCCACTTCCTGCATGTTAGTTCAATCAAGCATTTCAACGGATATAGGCAATAGAACTGAGTAGATAAAGTCTGTTTACCGTAATCTAATTGAAAGTTCTCCAAACTCATATCCATGTTGATTTCGACGTCCTCGGGCTTATGAAAGCAATTGTGTCTAGAAAAGTTGCCAATGCATTTAGCACGTTAAGCTGTAACTAGTTGGCGGAAACGAGTAGGCGGATAACTATGTAGCCAATATTTAATAAGACAGAGAAGGGCTTACAGCTTTGTCACAATAAATAACTCTTCCCTTGGAATGCTACTTTCGCGAATTGCGTGGCCGATATCCCTTTCGACTTGACCCCAGCCGTACCCAAAGGCAGCATCGATATGCCTGTAGCCTAGCTTCAATGCCTGGAGCACAGAGTCTTTTACTGAGCCCTCTGGATAGATCTTTGGATCTACCTGGAATGTTCCAAGCCCTCTCGAGGGCACTCGAATCGTGGTGCCTCTTAGAGCAAACGACTCTTGAGGAAACATCGCGAGGTTTACCAACTTCAGGGGCTATTTTCTGTAACTAACTTGCTAGTAGTAGTTACCGAGTACTTCAACTGAAGTTCAGTTGTCGGCACGACTTTGGCTGAGGTCTTCCGGCGAGAGGTTAAACTCAGAGAAATATTAAATATTCTCCATTAGTTGCCTGGGGACGGCCGCTTAATATAAGGAAATAAGGATGCAGGGGTTCGTGGTAAAATAACATACGAACAAGGGGATGAATATTTCAGCGGGGCTAAAGATACTGCGTTGCAGTTATGACCCGCCTAACCAACTAGTCATCCCATTCTTGTGCATAGTACAGTTAGAATGTAGCATACTATAATATATAAGATCATGGTTCATCTCTCAATAACCGAGAAACGGTCTTTCCAAGCGTTACAATTTCCACCAAATATTAAAGCTCCCAAACCTTTCTGTCATGACAACAAAAACCAAATAAAACAAAACAAAGTAAACTATGGCTCGTCCCTCAAAAACCGGGAGAGGATGCTTCCAACAGTTGCGATTACCGCCAAAGCCCAGAATGGCAAACCTATAGCATGGTGTTGGAGCCCAAGATGGAACATAGATCCTGACACAGCAGCACCCACTGATCTTGCTAGACATCCCATTGAAGCAGCAGCGCCATTGACTGTGGCAAGATGTAGAGGCGATGGTGATGTATTGGTTAACCTATCCATGTTAGCGGATGGGCCAAAGACTTGCTTTATTTGGCTGTAAGCTAATTTCTTGACTCACAGAATACTGGAAGCGGTATAGCCCAGATTTACCAGAATAGCTTTAACCCAAAGGTCCACTAGAATCAAGATTGTCGACAGCGGGCTGATAAAACGAGAAGCAAATGGTGTGAGACAGTATAAGCATGGAAATGCAAACACAGCCCAACGGAAGACTTTCAAAGGTCCTAGGCAAGCAATCAATTTTGGCACAATAAAAATCTGGGCCAGGATGGCTACTACAGCCTGAGAGAGGAGAACGTTGCTGATCTTTGGAGAGCTCATGCCAAAGCCGGTGGTGAAGTTCAAAAATTTGGACTCTTCCTTGTCTGATGTTGGTTCTTTATTATGAGCCAGGAAAATTGGGATAATCACGTCTGAAGAAACTTTGTGAAAACCTAAAATCGACGCTGCTAAAATCTGAAGGATGACCTGTACCGAGTATGCAGACTTTACAGGTGACTTGGTCTCCATGTTTGAATCTTTGTCTGCATCATTAGAACTGCTCTCGTTTATAGCTGTGAACTCGACATCTTCCGTGCAGTGAAGTGGGATATTGTCGTCTCCGTTAGAAGATAACACGGCATATTGAGTATCCGAGTAGCCAAACAACTTCATTGTCTTTCGGCAGAGCCATTGGGACATCTCCAATCCCACATTGCGGCTATTCTGGAGATGAGGATGTGTTTCTTCAAGGAAGAAAAATCCCAACGATCCACTGGTGGCTATAAACAGGGTCACGATCAAATTTGGTAACAGATAGGGGAATTTCTCCCATATGCTTCCTTCAGGGAAGACTGACGGTATTGTCTTTGTGGGCTCAGCCAGCCAGCCACCAATGACTGGCCCTATAAGGCTCCTTTTATAGCAGTATTAGCATTTGAGAAGTCATAGGTTAGATATAAGCTTACCCGAGTGCTCTCAAAAATGGCACCACAGAGAATGCTTTACCTGTGGATGCCATGTAAGCCTACCATCAAACCGCACAGAAATAAAGCATACCTTGGTCCTTCTTGTCCCTGACCAATTCTCCAACGCAGGATGAAACGACTCCAACGTTTGGATTTGTCAAGCCGCCAAATGCTCGAGCTACCAGAGCAACCCCCAGGCTCTTTGACAGCCCAAACGCCAGAGCTGAAGCAGCACCGCAGACCACTCCTATCATCAGCGTCCTCTTCCGTCCTATCCGGTCACTGACTTTGGCCCAGGGGACTCCGGTCAAGAACTCGCCAAACGTGAAGAGTGAGACGGTGCTGGATGCCAGGACAGCTGCCCGCGCTGCCTGGTTACCGTCCGCGGGGAGAAAGGACTTCATCATGGTAAACGCATAAGGGAATATGGTCGTCCATGCCAGGGCCTCGCTGAACCTGAAAAGGCCTGTCCTCTAACTATCAATTTGCATGTCCTCAATTGAAGCTGGGAGTCCATCTGTTTGAGCTCACCGAGAATAACGAGCTGCCATCGAATCCCGGCATAGTCGCGCCCCTTGCCTGGCTCTCTTTTGTTTGCCATCCTGCACTTGTGTAGAATAATAGGTATCTCAATGTCTTGCTGACCTCTGCGGCGTGTCTGTCAACGTTCATGGTGCAGGAATATTCATGTTAGCGGCCGAAGGATGAAGAAGCAAAAGCCGGCCCGCCGAGCTGGACCAGAGTTCAACGCCGTCAAAACACAACATCGTGACGGTGATAACCACTGTTAGCAGTACCATTTACCGTCATTCAAGAGACAAGAGAGAATAGATATAAATACCACGGCCTTTCGCCTCCTGCCAGGCCCACTTCCACGCTCCAGGCGTAAGGCTAGGGAACTTTCTGGCCGAGAGCTAAAAAAAACATCAATATAACACTAGATCACAGCAAAAGCCTGACCTGCAAACGCTCCAACGACCAGAGAAATCGGCTTCTTACTGGTAGAGACAGTCCATCCGAGTGATACCGCGTCGAGATGAAACCTATAATAGCTGTCCCGGCGACTCTTCTGCTGGTACATCGCGCCTGGTCAAGGAAATCGCTTACACCGTTGGGAATTGTATTCGCAGCGTTCACGGCAGTAATACATGCAATCCACCCGTCGTCGACTCCCTTTGCTCTTTTAATCGTCTTCTTCTTGGGTGGTACGAGGGTGACCAAGGTGAGTACTCATTCGAGCTGTCAATTTCAGCGTTTGATGGCGGTGATGGCGGTGATGGTGGTTTTGATGCAGCTGGCTAATAATCTCAACTCTACGTCCAGGTAAAACACGACGTGAAAGCTCGCCTGACGATATCAGCCACTGGAGCAGCCGGTGGAGAAGGCTCACGAACTCATATTCAAGTCCTTGCAAACTCGGGTGCCGCATCCATTTTGATATTACTCGACTGCTATCGGATATACTACAAAAACGGGGATCTGTCATGTCTTCCGTATGGCAGGCCTGAGAGCCTCCTCATGGTTGGAATCGTTTCGTGAGTGCTACTATGGTCTCCGTACAGGGTGGGCGAACTGCTACTGACAGCTGGGTTGGTTCTGTATTGTAGGACCTACGCTGCTGTTGCCGCTGATACGTACTCCAGCGAGCTGGGAATCCTCTCCAAAAGCGCCCCTCGTCTGATAACATCTCCTACCTTTCGAAAAGTCCCTCCTGGAACAAATGGCGGGATAACGCTTGTTGGTGTCGCGGCTGGATCCTTGGGGGCTTTTACTATTGCCGTGACATCCATGCTGCTCCCATTTTGTTCTCTTGGTTCGCCTGTTGCTGGTTGTTCCAAGCTCGGTCTCGATGGAGGGAGTGCTTGGGGTTGGAATGAGCAAGCACTCTGGGTCCTCGCGATCACAATATGGGGTACACTGGGGAGCCTTCTTGACAGTCTTCTTGGAGGGCTGCTTCAAGCCACTGTTGTCGATAAACAAACCGGAAAAGTCGTTGAAGGATGCGGTGGACAAAAGGTCAGCCGTACCCCGCGCTGCCTCTCTCCCGCTTATAGATCTTCCGTTAACATAACCGACTAGGTTCTTATCCACGCTGGTGCTCTCACATCTAAAATTATGGGCGATCCTCCTGTCCGGCAAGAAACATCCCTTCGAACGAACGAGGACATTGCTAATGCCTTGTCGCCGCATGCTTCTCCTCACGAGAGCCACGAGGGAATTTCAGATCCGGCTCATGAGAGCCGTAAGATCACCGCCGGCAGTGACATTCTCGACAACAATGCTGTCAACTTCCTGATGGCAAGCATTATGGCGGTCGGAGGGGTTGCCATGGCCAGCTTCATCTGGGGCACCCCCATTGACAGTATATTCCGCGAATGGTAATCTTTTAATGAATAGACGCCGATATGACAAACGAAAAATATACACACAATAAACACACTCTCACGATTACTTTATCGGTCCCTCTGCTTTACAGCTTGATAAGAGTAGCTTCTAGTGATGATACCCCTTTCCGTGGGCCAAGCCGAGGCACAAAAAACTGGGGCATTTTATGCCTCAAGATATGCGCTCATCCGAGGACGACGATTTATGGAGATAGAGATCCAGCATATAATCATAGTGGGCTGACCAGCTGCAAGGGTAAAGTTGCAGCCTGATTCAGTTGGTGGGGATGCATCGTACGGGGTAGACCATGGTGACCAAAGATTCTTGGCTGTTCCTACAACCACGTCACCTGTATAGGCGTTGGCATGCCTGCAGCAGCTCTGGGAGTGATATATTGAAACGATAGTATCATACCAATAGTACCGGGGCTCTTTGAACAACAACCCGCTGGCGGGACTTGGGAGGCAAACACTTTATCCAGGTACTAACCATATGACCCCTATTCCGATGTAGCTAGGCTGTTGCAATCTAATAAGCACTAACAAATTATTGTAGGACGCGCCTGCGATTTGCCCAGCGCTAATTATAGCTTCATACATATTGCTCTCAGTCCGAACTAGACCCGGCCGATGCAGTGGCCAGAGGACATCTGAGAGCAATTGATGCATTCGGCCCTTAAGACCGCATCTCCCTCTCTCCTGAGGTAGTCAAATGCGTTTGGCAGTAGCATTTCTCCGATAGCCTCTTTTCCTCATAGTTATCGACGCTAAACAGGACTTTACACATGAATGTCATGCCCCATTCAGTGCAATCAGATTGCTCAGTCCGATCATGAAATCCTTAGAAAGGAGACCGTCAGATTCCCTATCTCCCACTTTTCCGGAGGTAACCATAATGCTTCTCTGGAAAGAAAAAATTGTCATCGTAGTTGGTAACGGCTGTGCGTTCATACCATTGGATAATACCGTCTATCAATTCCATACACCCTCCATACGACTTCGAATACTGCGTAACATCCCATTTGCAATGCGACCGCTACGGTTACTCGTCTATCTCGGGGCGGGACCATAATCCCTGGTGTCTTTATAGCTGAAAAGGGCAAAAGACTACGGAGTACTCCTGGATAAGGGAGCTAGAACAGAGAAGTTCATGAGAAAGGAAACCCCTGAGAAATACCATGATGTCCTCATACCGGATTTTGAAATCGGCTACATGGTTGGTTTGCTGAACTCTCTCGTTTGACAACTCCCTTGGAGCTAACGTCCGATGACAGTGCCGCATATGTACTTGACATTGCTTACCTTAAGACGCTTCATAATGAAAATCTACTGCTGACAGATGCGAAGATCTTGAAAATCGTCCCTGATGGGCTGCGGGGGAGCGAGGGATTCATCCTTGCTGGTGTCATGCCCTGGCTAGTTAGGGGTTCAACACGAGCGTGTATCCGAAGGAAAACATCAATAATAACTAAGTCCATATATTTGGCTGTGGGGGGAAATCCGTTGCGGAACACTGGGATGAATACGACGTCCCTGAAGCATGCAAAGCCTCTGCAAAGCATGAAATTCCGACATTCTTCATACGCCGCTGGACATATATCTGCCTTAATGGCCGAAAATTGAGCAGCACCAACAAGCATATTTCTTTCAGCAGATGACTAGAAATGGTGGAAACCATTTCACTAACTACGACATTCCCCTGGAAGTGCTGTGAATTGCTTTCTCCGCATTCTCAAGCTGGTTCTCATAAACCTCCATTATTGAGGTTAATATTGAGGTTAAGCAGGAGGCGAGAGAACCTACGTCAACAAAGTTCAGGTTGCTCTCCATAATAACTAATGGTTATGGGATCTCGATCGGTGTGTATCCCTCTATTTGTCTTCATTTCCGCTGCTTGACATGTTTAACGGCCCGTGTCTTATTAACAAAAACCTTAGTTAACCAACAGGTAACGAGTTGACTTAGTTAAGTCACTATGTGAAGTGACAAGGATTAGAGTGGCACTGCTTATCCCTGGCCAAAGCACAACTTCTGAGCTTATTACCTTGCTGGGCAGATCGGGATATCAAGGTAGGGCCTCCAACCCGGTTCTATAAGTGTTCCTGGTGGCATGGGTTTGCTGGTTCTATAAGTGCCGGAAATAATGCCCAGGTAGTTAAGTATGTGGCTTTCTAGATCCACGATCAGGGATGCAAAAATCGGGATTGCGGGTAATATATCATCATATCTAGAGAGATCTCTTGAGCAAAGGCTGGGCATAGTAAACTCATAGACTTGAAGTAGGACTGTACTCTGAAGAAACATTGCTATGGAAGTTTGCAGTGGAAAAAGGCTCAGAAGAAAGAAGAAATTGTTTAGATTATACTACGATTAACTGATTAACTACATGTCAACATTAGTTAGTCATATATCCATCCTAGTTTCGGATATATACACATCCGTTTGTTTAAGGATCCCTCCGCAACACGCCTCGAGGGTTTCCATGTCAATTATACGTTCCTCACTCTCTGTTCGGGTGAGGTCCAATTCACGCCCGGTTTCAACGGATGCAGTCACAACATTAGCCCGGTTATGCATGGTCCAAGGTAGACTGCCTGCAATGCTAAGGGAAGGATTTGTTTCACGCCTCGTTTGCTGACGCGAAGACCGGCAACGGAAAAAGCGCGGAAAGCATGTGCTTCTAGGTCGAGATGATCTCCCAAAAAGTTGAGGGAAGAGTATTGTGAGTGTCTGGCGAATTATGGGTAAACAGGCGCATATAATTGCGGTGTTCATCTCAACGGTCGCCCACATTGCGTTGAAAAAATGGTCCACTGCTTGAATTAGCATAATTCATTGTCACGGCAAACAGCGCCTTATATAGCATGGGAGATTTTTTAGGGGTTGAATACATGTAACATCGAGTGGTTTTGCAGATTGCGGGAATGTAGTAGAGCGGATTATACTAATCAAACAGACACTATAGAATGGGCAGTTAGCGAGACAATTCAAGGAGATTCAAATATAGGGGAGCCTCACAATCCACCAAGGACGAAGACAAAGATCAACGCCAGTTTGTCGCGGAGCTGCAGTCCGAGTCGGGAGACATGGTAGATAGGCAAGGCCAATATAAGAATGTCGATTACAAGATTAATCAGAGCATGCGATAACCACACGCCCAGGTCCTTCATGCATTGATGCGGGATACTTCGATCCCAGAATGCCTTTAGCGGAAGGCATTGAAAGAGTGTTGGAAAGATGTATGCGACGGATGTCACACTGGTGATGATAATAAGGCTGATGCAAGCCCATCGGAAGTACTTGCTGGCGGCAAAGACTCTTAGATACAGAGCCAATATTGACACTTTTGCAAGACCGATGATGAGTTTAAACAGAACTTGTGCACTAAGGAGCATCTAATACGGGGACAGGTGTCAGTTGTATTTGTTGAAATACACACGCTCACATAACAATATATACCTTGAATGCAAGCATTCTGTCTTCCTTTTCGATCTCATGATCATGCGTTCCCAGGCCATACTCGAGACCTTTTACAATATTAGCTATCAACGCTGGAAGTTTAAAAACCTGAAATTGTATACCCACCTAAATTGAGAACAACAGTGAAAGCAATTGTGAGGACCTGTACCCGGGTTAGTATGCCGTCTGATACCTCCCCCTTAATGTATAGGTTATACATACCAATGCCGCGAGGATTGTCCAGTCATCTGCCCTTATTCCATCTCTGAGATATCTGCCGACCAGCCGCAGAATAACAAAAACTCCAGAAAAGGTAACCATCAATGTACCGACTACAAAAAGCACATATCCCTTACCAGTCACATCTGCTCTCCCCATCTCATGAATGCGGGCCCAAAAACTGGAAGAAAAAAATAAGTAAATAAACCAAGATCCAACGGGTATATCCGTACCAAAGTGAAGGACGAGAGGGAGACCCGTAGGTTGGTCATTCGAAGACCACCCGTCCTTTGCACTTTGAAGTTGTTGGGGTTATGTATCGTTTATGCTGGGAAGCAAGTTAGTCCAGGCAACCAGTCTTGTGCACATTTCGAAGGTATTGAGCATATATGAGGTGCAAAAAGGAGTTGTCCTCACTCAACTGTTGAGGGAAGTATTTCATCTTTAACATACTTTTCTTATTATTGTTGATGAGCAAGCTTCCGGAATCATCACCGAATAAAGAAATGGGGCCTGCTAAATCGAACTTGACAGGGTAGCCATTGGCTAGGGATAAATGAAGGGGAGGAATCAACAGGCACGATTCGAAAGGCATGGGCGAGCATGAGTTAGTCCCCTCACACCCATAGAAGGGCCATGGCAATTGTTTATTTAGCGTGGGTATGATATCCGATGAGATATTAAGCCAAAGACAAACAGGGATTCATAGCAGTTCTCCCTTTTGTCAGGGACCCAGGCAGCCAGAGTGGGTGCTGTTGTTATACCTCAACCCCTTCCATGCATCACTGGGTCATGGCAGGGTGGAGCTGGTAGGGCCGACCGGCTTTGTCTGAGGGACCTCACTGTGTAAAAGCGCCGTCTTTCCTGCGGCCCGCGCTCGGGCAACCGACTGGCAAAAAGGAAGTATCGTTGGCAGAGGAGGCGGGAACGCAGAAGGAACCGATTATGCAAAGGAGCCTAACTGGCTCTCCCGCGGGCGTCTGCAACCCGGTATACCAGTCCCGATCAGAGCAGAAACAATCCGGTTACAAGCGAGTCTTGTCCAGGGCTTCATCACATTAACGAGCGAAGTGCAGAACAACCTGCTTCACGGATCCTTGTTGGTCGACCGACCCCTTACTGAAAGTGATGCTTGTTAGGCAGGGCCCATGGCTTCCATGGATACAAAAGAACCCAGTCAAAGGCGCCCGCTAGATGCGGATATCAACCCCGTTTAAGGGTATGCGAGAATCTGGCTACCCTATCGCCGGCGAAGGGAGGTCATTTTTCAGACAACCAAACGTAGTTACCCTCAATCCTCCATGTCAATTTCTGGTTCAGCCAGCCCAGGTGATATCCAACCTAGCATTTTATTGGCAGACAGGATTCTCCCATCCGCTGGATGGAGGAGTTTGCCCATCCTCGATGCGACTTGCTTCGTGGATAAAACATGAAACACGAAGGTGGCACAATCCATATGCAGCTTCGAGCTTCAGTGCCAACCCGAAACCACGCCACGGCTGAGGCCGCGATTGGTCGGAATATAAATAAATTTACTTCGTAAGAACGAGATTGGCCTTCGGGAGGGTGGAGTCTGGAGAGCTGACTTCTAGAATGTTTCAACCGCGGCTCGTTCGATTGGCGCGAAACCGATGGATTCGATATATAACGCGTTGGCTTTGCACTCGTCTACTCAGGTACGGCTGAGAGGTGATACTTTTGATGCTGATGAAGCATAGACGGATGGCGTCGTCCTTGTCTCAGCCTTTCAAGTTACACAGGCCTCAGGGGTAGCGTCATAAAGGCGGAAGGCTACGGAAGCGGTTCGAGGGGCATTCGAGATTGGATATCCCCGAAGAGCTGTTTCCATGATCTCCCTTCTTTATGCAGCAAATAAGAGAAGTTTTTAAGATGCCTACAGAGATAATTAGAACACAATAATTCAAGGTGAAATTCCAATTTTTACGGTGGGGGCTAAGATATGGGAGCAGGATAGAGAGGGAGGACGTCAAACTCTCGAGAACGGTCCGCTCCAGGATGACGAGATTGGTTACGCGCTCGTGGATGGAGTTGAAAATAGATACGAAGTGCCCCATAGAATCAATGCATACTCCTCTAGAGTAACTCGGACGTTTGCGTGGTTGTTGATGCAGGTCTGGTAGCGGAGACCTTGAGATGTTGTTACATTGACGTTAGATGTTGGTGTTGCTACTTTGCCAGCACGTCTATGTATAATCACCACCCCCCGAAGGTTGTTTACAACAGAGTTACTTCGGGATGTCCTATTACTTGGAGGGTTAGTTCCTAAAATATAATCGATCTAGTAGCTTGGTGTCATCTTTTTTTGATATTAGACATACTCGACCTGAAACTCTCCAGATGTGATGATGTGACGAGAAAAGGAAAATGTAAGTAGTTCCCCCACAGACACCGGCACCTCGATAGCATTATTAGCTTCTTGTAGAAACTTGGATATCTTAAAAGGTAAGTAAAGTACTAGTCGATGACAAGGCGAGTTGACTCCTCATCCCTAGAAGCGGAGCCTGACAGAGAATGCGGTTTTCTCTTGTTGTTTGATTTCTGGCGTGAGATGGTCTTCAGCTGAAGCGCTCTGGTGCTGTACTCAAGCACATGGATGACCTCAGAGAACTCCCTACGCGCCTCGCTCCATTTCCCTTCCGCCATAAATATCTTTCCCAGTAAGAAGTGAGCAATGTCACGGAAATTACGGATTACGTCGGGATTCTGCTCCTCTATGGTGGGGCAAGGTAAGATAACATCAGAGATGGAAAACCGAGCTTCTGTGTATTGGCCGGAGGAAAGCAAGATAGCACCTTCGAGAGGGAAGGTTTGTATCCAGTCAGGCCCGGCTGGGTTTAGACTCTTTCTCAGGAGACAAAGTTCATTCAACGCATGCTGCGATTCCCCTCGGGCCCATTTGTATTCAGCTACCCCCAGCAGTGGCTCGTTAGCGGGGAAGGAGACCCAAGTATCCTGTATCCATCTTGGCTCAACGGCCATGAGAAACGAGAGATAGCTGCTACTTTTGCGTGTGCATTCGGCCAGGGCTGCTTGGCTTTCCATAATGATGGAACGGTGCTCTTCAATGTGGGATTTGAGATCAGTTATTGTTTTTATAGCCTGCGAAAGGCATCTCCGGGAAGCGTTTCTCTCGTCGACGGTTTTCTTGAGAAGATTCGCTAACTCGACCACAGTTGTTTCAGGGTCTTTCCCGTTCATGAACTGTGTCGGGTCATATGGTGAACTGGGAGATTGTCCTTGAAGCTCCATGGAGTAAGATAATTTAGGCATGAAATAACTATTACAAGGTTGTGAATAGTCAGTTGCATTCTTAGCAGGCAAATCTCTGCTAATATGTCCATTTTAAATGAGAGGCTTCTTAGTTGTGAAGTCATTCTTTGAAGAGTCACCGGCAGCTTCCGTCATCATTGTGACTAAGGGCAGTCTGAAAGGAAATGAATATAGGTCAAACTATAGAACCTTTGGATTCTTTATTAACACTCTATATGGGTATCTTGGTGTCTTCTATCACTTTCTTCATGTCTCCAACTAGGATATTGAAAGATTGATAATCATGATGTTTGTTTTTTGATGTTTTCTGAATCTAGTGAGGTAGCGCTTGCTACGATCGCTAATTGGCTGATGTATCACATTAGTAAGAAATTAGTAATAGGATACACACTAAAAGTTTTAACTCGCTTAGTCATGCGCGTATTTGTAAACAAACCCCTACTTAAATTTACCAATTTGGCAAGTATCTATATCATCTTCATCCACATATTCGTTTACAACTTCTTCTATCCGTATATGTCCTGCAAAATAGACGCAGATAATGACGGCGGCAGCTCTGGGCCCAGCAGTCCTCGCAGCCAGACCCTTAGCGAGACGTTACAGTTCGCTCCTAAGACGTTGAAGGCCTTGCAGGAGCAGAGACTGCTTGAGACTGAGCAGATTGAGGCTACAATCTTTAAGGAGAAGGCCACGGACGTGATTGATATACTTACAGCCATCAAACGCGTGAGAGAGCTCGAGCTTCGCCACTATGTGGAAGCTATAGACTTGAACTTAGCCCGGGCTATAAATCGAGAATCAATCATCATGCAGCTCCGTGGCCAGCCAGCCCCTGCCGCCTGCGAGCACTGTAATAAAGGAGCCGGCCCATTTACTGAGTGTATTGTTATGAAGGATACCTTCTCTGGCAGCTGCGCGAACTGCCACTTTAATGACTTAGGAACTCGGTGCTCACTTCGTACAGGTACGTTCTATATCCATAAAATGGTTATATTGTCTAACACGTGTAATAGAGAGCTTAACGTCGCCTAATAAGGGTAAGGGCAAGGAGAAGGAAGACTTGCCGGCTGTCTCGCAGCCAAAGAAGAATGTTAACAAAGAGGGTAGCAGCGGTAAACGGCCTGCTACGGATACAGAGGTCCGTAAAGAAAAAGCCAGATGCCTGCACCGCCGTTTTCGTATGGTTGCGTCTACCGTCGAGGCGTTATCTGCAAGCGCTATGGCGCAGAACGAGATCCTAGAAGAGATCTTAAAGCAGCTAGAAGCAAGGCTTACAACGTTATCAAATAGCGTTGCTTTGATGCGGGCCGGGCTTTCAAGTACAAAGGCAGATGCAGTTTCCCAGTATAATCTTGCTATTGCAGCCCGTGAGATGGCAGATAGCCTTGCCGCAGAAGCAGGCTTTGAGGACTTCGAGGAGACTACACGTGAGGAAGAGGAAGAGGCTGCAGCTGTAGCGGATATTTGAGGACTTCAAGGAGGCTGCAGCTACAGCGGATATAGAGCCAGGGAACGATGAAATGAAATTGGAAATGTAGATGTATCTCTACAACTACAACTACCAACTGCAAGGGCTTAGCCCGTTTGTAAAATAGATGAATGAAATGAATGTAACGATATGATATCCTCCTATACACTAACACCGATGCCTGTAAGGACTTCTGGATATACAATATTCTGAATGGCACCAAGATCTTGACTATTCGTTATACGCGAGAGATCAACATATAACTAACCGTGTGTAAACAGCGGAGAATGTAAATCAACACCAACGTGGTCAAGAGACTAGCCTTGCGATCTGTTGATAGTCATTGCAAAGCAAGGAGCAACGGGAAACTGCCTACTGCCAAAGACTGTAAATCAATGCGAGGGATGAGGCTGCAGCGTTCGCTATATGAGCCACTGATAATAACTGCCTCAATCAAACGTCGGTGCAGCTGAGCAACAATTAACCTGGTTGCAAAACCCTTCCTTGGGCCGTAGTTGAAGTTTGATCTTGATCTTGATTAATAATTAGGCTCCCTGCAAACAGTGCAAAAAGTGCAAACAAACACGATGAAAACATGCAAACATGCAAACCTTATCAGATCAGGATGACAAACCAAACAAACAGAACAAACAGAACAAACAAACCAAACCAGGCAAACAAACACCTCCAGCCGCAACTCCTGCAACTTCCACCTTTTTAGCTTCCTTCGGCTGTACGAGAATAACGAAGAACAACGAATAACAAACACGCGCGAGGGACCAAAAATGCCCCCGAGCTAGCCATGTAACCAGCTGGCGGCACATGGATAACTGACCCCCCGTGTAAAACCCCTCATCTTGACTGGATAACGGGAACCTGTTCGCTAACCTGACCGTCCCTTGCACAGGATACAACTTGGCATGCTGCGTCATAGTCGTGGGCCCCCTTGGAAGCCTGATGATCCTCCTCCTTGCGGGCTGGATTGTGTACCAGCCGGCCTGTGCAAATCAGTGGCCCATGATGTCGCACATTAATGCTTTCTAGACCAGGCTTGTTGGCGGAGAAGGTTGCAGGGTTGCCGCATACGAAAAAACAAGATAACCCCGAAATACCGCGTCGTTGTCGTGTACCATCCCACCCCCCGCGGCAGCTTTCTGCTTTGACACTCCCTGGCCGGCACGTACGCGAGATGACTCAAGCGGCTTCAGGGAACTGTTTGCTGTTATTGTCCTAAGAGTCCGGCTCGGATACTACACGATGGATCTCCAATTTTATGACATTTTTTCTACGAACCTTGTTCTAGAAACTATCGTGATGATTCCTCAGCTCCTATCTCGTCCGTTGGCATCCCTGAGCATCTTCCAAACCACTCCGCACCAGCGTGCAGGTAGTTGGCCCGAGTTCCGCATGATCTCCGAGCTACTTGTGCAGAGTACACCTTTCCTTAGTAGCATCTATATATATATCTGTGTATATATATTTACCTGTGGCCCCTCCCTTGGTGAAGGTCTGTACCTTCATCGAGCTTGAATTTTAGTCCCTTTTTTTTTTTGCAGTTGAGACGCCTAGCTGCTCCGGTTTATCTAGAAAAATCCATTATTAGACTTGAAAAAGTAACATGTCTCCCATTGCTACATCAAACGTTGAGATCGTGGATATCCGCGGTACCAACCTTCAGAGTTCTTTATCTCAGGACATCTATCATGGTCTTCAGGCTGCAGAGAAGAGCCTGCCAACTTTACTTCTTTACGACACAAAGGGACTACGACTGTTCGAAGACATTACATACTTGGACGAATACTACCTGACGAACGCGGAGATCAAAGTCTTGGAAGCAAATGCTGCCAAAATCGCAGCACTTGTCCCTGAGAACTGCCAATTAGTTGAGTTGGGGAGCGGGTTTGTTTTCCTCTCCCCTTCGATGCCACTGCCTTCCCGAATACCGCGCAAATATCCCATACCCCTCTTCACCGGCTATTCGATTTTAACCGCGAGTGTAGGAATCTACGAAAGATCGAGATCTTGTTGAATGAGCTTGAGCGAGCGAAAAAGTCGGTTGAATATTACGCCCTTGACCTGTCCCTAGAAGAGCTTCATCGGACCTTCGCAGAGTTGCCATCGAAAAGCTACCGCTATGTCAAATGCCGTGGATTCTGGGGCACATACGACGATGGCCTCAACTGGCTCAACAACCCCATGAACAGGAAAAAAGCAACTTGGGTTATGTCTTTAGGCTCGTCAATGGGCAACTTTAGCCCTGTTGAAGCCGCTGGCTTTCTCCGTGGGTTTGCCAGGAGTCTGGGACCGGCGGATTCGATGGTGATTGCTTTCGATCCCTGCAAGGACCCCGAGCGGGTGTTCAGGGCTTACAACGATAAAAAGGGCGTGACAAGGCAGTTCTACCTTAACGGATTGTCTAACGCAAACGCTATTCTCGGCTTCGAAGCTTTTAAGTCAGGAGAATGGGACGCAATAGGAGAGTTTGACCAAACGCTAGGGTGCCACAAAGCCTATTACGTTCCACTAGCGGATACCGTCATCAACAATATACATATCAAGAAGGGCGAGAAGATATTCTTCGAGCAAGCATTCAAATACGCAGCAGATGACTGTGAAAAGCTGTGGCGTGATGCTGGCTTGCATCCAACTCGAAAATTTGGCGATGACTATAGTAAGTTGGACCCCGCCTGCTAAGCCAAGCCGGCAAGGATAGGTTTCCCCCCTACGGACGGGCATTTGCCGCTGCTTATTTATAGATCCATATTGACCAGCCTGCCTTTGCCCTGCTGCAGATATCCATATTTTATCCTCAGCCACCCCCAATATGAACCCATATCAGCTACCAACCAAGAGGACGGAGTACGTGAAAGATGTCATTCCGACCCTGCAGGATTTTGAAGCAGCTTGGGCGCTATGGGACACTGTCACCACCTCCATGGTACCCCCTACCGACCTGCTCTCTAGGCCAATCCATCTAAGGAACTCCCTGATCTTCTATCTGGGACATATCCCAGCGTTCATGGGTAAGTTAAATTACTGGAGATTGTGTCAAATATAAAGTTGCGGGAGCTAATGCATACTGCAGATAGGCATCTCGCTCGAGCGACTGGTGGAGCCCCCACCGAACCAGCGGAGTTTCATTCTATGTTCGAGCGTGGTATTGACCCCGACGTTGATAACCCGGACCATTGTCACGACCACAGCGCTATACCGGATGAATGGCCTTCAGTTGAAACCTTGGTGGAATACCAAGGCCAGGTCAGGACTAGGGCGAGGTCGATATACTTTAATGGTCAGGCTGGCGATAGGAAAGTCGCTGAGGCTCTATGGATCAGCTTCGAACATGAAACTATGCACTTAGAGACCTTCCTCTACATGCTTTTGCAACACAACAGTACTATGCCCCCTCCTCTCGTCGCTAAGCCTGATTTCAAACAATTAGCATTCGACTCGGCCAAGACAGCTGTTCCCAATGAATGGTTCGAAATCCCAGAGCAAACTGTGGAGATTGGTCTCGACGACCCGGGTTCAGATGAGATCCCTAGTACTTCCTTTGGATGGGACAATGAAATACCACGACGAACCGCGCATGTACCAAGCTTTATGGCCAAGGCTAGGCCAATAACCAATGGAGAGTATGCCAAGTACCTGGAGGAATGTGGTACTGAACAGCTCCCCGCATCCTGGGTGGAAAAGTCAACCCAGAATGGCTCACAAAACGTTATGGCCAAGTATGCTGTGCGCACTGTGTTTGGTCCAGTACCACTAGAGTGGGCATTGGATTGGCCTGTTGCCGCATCCTATGAAGAGCTAAACTTATATGCCAAGTGGATGAAGTGTAGGATTCCTACTTTCGAGGAGGCTAGGAGTTTATACAAGTACTCACTTACCTGTCTTTCTGGGAATGGTGCAGTGGCGAACGGGTTGAAGTGAGCTTTTTACCCCCTACTATCATGCTGTGGAAACCTATTAACATGGCTATTAGGACATCTGCGAACGGATCAGAGAAACAAAACCATGACACTAACTACCAACCAGTGCAGAACCCTTTCAACCTAGACAAGTCAGTGTATGTTGACCTCGACGACTGCAACGTCGGATTTGCCCACTGGCACCCAACGTCAGTGACGCAGAACGGGAACAAGCTCAGTGGTCAAGGAAATTTCGGTGGACTATGGGAGTGGACTAGCTCCACTTTAGAGGCTCATGATGGCTTCAAGCCAATGGATCTTTACCCTGCGTATACCGGTAGGTTGAATCTATCCGATTCCAAGCAAAGACGAAGCTAATTTTCTGCAGCGGACTTCTTTGATGGGAAGCATAACATCGTCCTTGGAGGGTCATGGGCAACTCATCCCAGGATTGCAGGGCGGACAACTTTGTAAGTTCATATTTCCGTCCTTGGTACTATGCTACGTACCGGCTTCTAACATGTCTTTTCAGTGTGAACTGGTACCAGCGGAACTACCCGTACGTTTGGGCCGGCGCACGCCTTGTCCGTGATGATTGAATATGCCCCTATTCCTGTTCACATCCTGCTTAGAGTAGCAGACCACGCTGAGACGAGCAAGGAATAAATGATAATACTCTCCACCCTAGATTACGTGTTTCGCCTTCAATAATGTGGTTTATCTTGCTGTTATAATTATTCTTTACCTTTTATTTACCAAAGGCTTCTCAGTCCTTCAAATGAAACTAGCCATATGTTCCACCCAAGGCCAGTAATTATACCTAGATATATCCAACTGCCGGAGTAGCATCATGCAAACGAATGCCTTCATTTTATCAAGGGAGTGTTCTAGGACACCTTTACGTAACTACCTTTCGCCAACGCCTTTGAAGTATCCAGTCATGCAGTCCGAGATTAGATACATTATTACAGGCTGTGTCCTTGTAGTAATTGACTAGCGGGTAGCTCACTTAGCAATGAAAACGAAGCAAAGTAAGAAAAAAAAAACCACCTAACAAAGCCAGTGGACAATGAACTCGGTAAATTGATGCATTCATATTCGGCTTTACTTGGACATCTTCTTTCTCTGCGTAGACATACTCCAGCAATACAGGACATATAATGGGCGTAGGATGGGAAGCTTAGTTCCACCATCTGAGGCCGGACTTTCTTGACAGAACATCTGGTGGAATTATATCTTTCTACTTCGGTTATTAATAGGAGTATCCCTTCATTTCACTATCTGATAGTAGAAAGTGACCTACTGTAATGGGTATTCCACCCGTTAATAAATTAACTGACGTGGTCATAAAGGCAGAAGACTTCCATATATTCAAGGGGACTATCAAAGAAGAACAGCTAACAAATTACTACTCTGACAGGACTATTTCGTCTTAATTAACTGTGCTAGTGAATGCTGAGGATATATCCATTCATATTGTAAGGCAGGCAGTTAAGACACCAAGGAATGTCCTGATGAACAGGAGACTCACTTAGGCCATTTAGGCCATCCTGTTCTATTTAAGGGCCTGGGTGGACTCGATGTTTCTGAACGATTTCTCTTCTGAATAATTATCTTTTCTACAGCTTACCTGCAAATCTATTTTGATATTACCCCCAGCAACACTGACGCCCCTATTTTACCAGAACGCTTATACACAATTCGAAACAACAGCTAAACATTGCCATTGTATCTCCCCTTATATAGGGGCCTTTGTCAAGCTTTGCTCTCTTTCCTTTTCTGTTGGGATACCAAATCGAGTCTGTCCATTAGAAAATGGACCGAAAGGTGGATGATAACTTCAAGTGGGAAGAAAGCCCAGGACTCTGTATGGCAGATCAGACCCCTCCCTTGCTTTGATGATAATGGCTAACATCTTCTTGACGTTCCTGGATTACCAGATCATGGATGTGGAGTATGTGGTACATGTCTCAACAGTGCAAAGGCAAAACGAGCCTGCTATGGAAAGCATACGGAGCCTTGCATGAGGTACCATCAAACAATGTTCTGCATTGGTAAGTTGACTGGTGCCAAAAGGGGTATATTCCCGAGTAAGATACTGACTAGACTGCCGTTGTATAGGGAATAGTCATAAATGCGACCCGTAAGTGTGCAAGGCTGACCTAAAAAAAATTGCTGATACCTTGACTAACTGGATATGTAGTTGCCGCAAGTCAAATGAACTCCATGAGAAACGTCACAAGGACATTGCAGCTCTGGTAGACAAGATCCATGAGTTTGACCGAGGAGAGAGGGACCTTACTCTCAAATTTGCCGACTGTACGAATGGCCCTGTTCTCTATGATCGTAGGACCAACCTTACTCCAGCTATGGGGGTGATGAAACTTGCAAAGGCTGCTGTTCTCCGCTCACTTGCCCCGCCGGAGACGCTGAAGAGAACCCTGTCAGCCAAGGACCGCAGGGCAGAGAAGAGGGCCAAAAAGCTGGAGAAGAGCGTAGCCAAGACGATCAGGCGCCAGGCCTGCCGTCCAAAGATTCCAGAAGTCGTCCTAGCTAGTTCCATCGAGCAGGTAAACAAGGCCATCCACGGCATCAGCAAGCCCGAGTCTTCCTTAAGCCCCGAGGATGCAGACACCTTCTTCGTAGCCAGCATCCTACACTTCCAAGAGGTGGAAGAGCAGGCTCGAGAGTTTGCCATGAAACAGGACGCCCACGGAAGATACCACGAGTCGAAGACGCCATCTCCCGGGAAGTACAAAGTCGAGTACGGCAACATCAACAAGTACGAGCTTCCAATAATCCGGGAGATCCTCACCAAGCTCAACGTCAGCATCGAGAAAGACAACGCCGACAAGGACCGCAAACATCTGCTCGTGAAGCTTGGAGAGGCCATCTTCGCCGACCTGGAGCTCCTATCAAACGAGGCCCGGGAGACAATGAGGCGCAGCGCAGGCTACTGGCGCTTTGCCAGCAGGCGCACCTACAACGCCATGGTGCGCAACAGCAAGATCGTGAACTGGGAGACGGGCGAGAAGCTGGCGGAGGAGACCCTGGCCGCCCACGAGTTAGAGGAGTAGCCTGTCATAGCATCAATCAATCTGTAGTCTTCTATATCTTTGCCGCTGTTGTCGATGTATGGCTGTCGGTGTAGTTGTTTGTAGACTTCCAATGACGTTGAGGCTGGAGTGTTCTGGTTGAGGTCGCGCGACCCATTTCCGCTTTGGGACACGGGATGCCGAAACTTTTGTCCGGCGGTTTCGCCGCATCAGCGAAAGGCAGACGACGAGGCACGCTTGATATCCCGGCGCTGCAGCGGGCGTCGAACAGCGCCATCACCGCCCGGACGAGCGCGAGACACACGCCAGCAGGGCCAGCAGCTTCACCTTCACCCCACGCTGAGCTCGCTGGCGTGACGAACCCGCGGAGTTGCGAGTGTCGGTAAACGCGGCTGTTCCGTTGTTTCGCCCTCGACCCACTGATACCGAGGATAACTAAGTCAAAAACTCCTATTAAAAGCGGGCTGCGTCGCCAGCTTCAACGTCTTCGCTGACCCTCGCCCGTTATAACCTGCTCTGCTGTTGCTAACGGAGCTACCATATCAAAGGAAGAGAGAAGTGCTGCGCTGCTCGCCGCTGACCCGCTGACTGCTGACCCCGTCGACGATGGCCTCCGAGACGCTGACGACCATTTCGCCCATCACCGGCAAGCCCGTGGTGACCAGAGCTGGCGTGACACAGGATGAGCTTGCAGCGCTGCCCAAGACTGCCCAGGAGGCCTTCCGGGCGTTCTCCAAGTCGACGACGCTCGCCCAGAGACAGGAGATTGTCGCCCGAGCCCTGAACCTGATGGCCAAGAAGAAGGACGTCCTCGCGCGCGAGGTGACCGAGCAGATGGGCCGCCCTATCGCCTATACGGGGGTTGAGATCACGACGGCCATCAAGCGAGGTGAATATCTTAACCGAGTGGCGGGCGAGGCGCTCGGGGAGCCGGTGCCTGGGGACGCTGAACCAGGGTTCAAGAGATATCTCAAAAAGGAGCCCCTCGGCGTCGTTCTCATCATCTTCGCCTGGAATGTAAGCTAGACTCTTCCTAGCCAGCTGCGTTGTTTCTGGTCTTCAGCTCGAGATGCTAATTGAGCATAGTACCCTTACTTGATCCTGGTCAATAGTTTGATCCCTGCGATTCTAGCTGGAAACGCCGTGATTCTGAAGCCTTCCCCACAAACTCCCACAGTCGTCGAACAGGTGTCGTCCATCTTCCTCGAAGCTGGTCTTCCCCGGAACGTACTGCAATATTTCCATTGCGGGTCGCTCGTCAACCTCGAGGCCATCATCCGGTCTCCCCTGATCAACCACATCTGCTTCACCGGCTCAGTTGCCGGAGGTCTGGCTGTCCAGAAAGCAGCAGCAGACCGGATCGTTAACGTCGGCCTCGAGCTCGGCGGTAATGATGCAGCCTACGTCCGTCAAGACGTAGACCTTGCTTGGGTCGCGGAGGAGATTGTCGACGGCGCCATCTTCAACAGCGGTCAGAGCTGCTGCTCTATCGAACGGGTATACGTTCATGAAAAGGTCCACGATGCCTTCATCCAGGAAATCAAAAAGGTGCTCTCCAACTATCGCGTTGGTGATCCCTTCGACGAGAAGACCCAAATTGGGCCCGTCATATCTCAAAAGGCTAGAGAGAACATTCTCTCGCACATAGAAGATGCTATCAAGGGCGGCGCCAGGGACGAAACTCCTGCAAACAGCACCTTCGATAACCTCCCACCCGTCGGCAACTTCGTGAAACCTACGCTGCTCACAGGTGTCACACACAGTATGCGGGTGATGGCTGAAGAGACGTTTGGGCCCGTCATACCCGTCATGAAAGTCAAGGACGACAGCGAGGCCATTCGATGGATGAATGACAGCGACCTCGGGCTAACTGCTAGCGTCTGGACAAAGGATGTAGCGACAGGAGAGAAGCTGATCCAGGATATCGAAGCTGGCACCGTCTTCATCAACAGAGCCGATTATCCGAGCCCAGTGAGTTTTGTCGAACCCCCTGTCCTGCGCTGCGCTGCGCTGTTCTGCGCCATGCTGCAGTTGCATGATATCCCAGTTCGGTTCATAATCTTTTTCCCGTTTGACTCTATCTTTTACCCGTACCAAGTCTCCTGGCATCACCACATTCTAACCTCCTTTCTTCTCATAGGACCTTGCATGGACCGGATGGAAGAATTCCGGAAGAGGTGTTACCCTCAGCAAGTTTGGTTTCGACCAGTTCATCAAGCTGAAAAGCTTCCACCTGAAGGATTATCCAAAATAGAGCTCCTCCGTCTGCTCTGCCTGGATTTGCACCTCATGAGTTATATGATAATTATATTTAATTCGAGCTGTACGAATATAAGTCTCTATCTTCATCTGGTTATCCATTCATCCAAAGATGAAAATTTTTTTCCAATCTAATCGAAAGAGGTTAATCTCTGCTACATAATATCCGGGATGCCCTGGAATGCAGATGCGCCGGGCGCTCATCGTTACGGCGTAGGGAAAAGCTATGGCTGTCTTTTCCTTTTTCTTTTTTCTATCAAGCCACGCCGGAGAATTCCACCGTCCTGCAGGACGAGGGCTGGCGGCATCTTAGACTTATCGGACCATGGCTCCGATGGTATATGCCCTTCTTGTCTTCTGTCGCCAAGATCACCGGTTGTTGATTCCCAGCGCCGCCGCATATTCTATATGCTGCATAAGACTGAACCCGCAAATGCACCTACCATGTATTCGGACAGAGGGGACATGGAATGATCCCTTTTAAGTGGAAGTATATCGAAGGAGCTAAATGCCGCAGCGGGATGGGTGAAAAAGTCAAGTCATGCAGAAGGTTTCGACGGCGTTGTTGCTTTTCATAGATCTTCAACCAACGTACTTTTTTTTGCATATTTAAGTTTCCCCATCATTGCCATATTCACAGCAATGCTCCGGAGTTAGACTGATAAACGGCCCATGAATAGATATCCGCCTCATAGAAATGTCGGAACTTGGCTCAGGCGCTGTTTTCGAAGCTTCTTACCCTCCTCTCGCACCCCTGCATTCTCAGGCTGGAAAGTTTTGATCTGGTCAAATGTAGGATCACTTTCTTCAATTTTCACTTGGCGTTTAGCAGGGCTCGGGCCCGGTTCCTTGGCTGGCTCGTCTTGCTCATCGAAGAATTTTGCAAATCGGGAGCTCGAGCTTCCACGAGGCTTTGGTACTGAATTTGATCGAGTAGCAGGCGAAGACGACCCACTGCTAGAGCTCTGGGACTCTCTGATGTTTACATGTGGCTGCTTGATAGGCGAGGGTGCTGGGTCTGCCCTTGTAATTGAAGGAGTCGAGTCTCTCTTATGCGGGAGAGCGACAGGAGTTTGCTTGGAGGTGCATGCTGGTACTGATGTCCTAGATCGGGCTGATATAGCCGGTGGTCGGCTTAATGACCTAGCCTGGACGCCTAGGTCATCATCGTCGCTGGAAGCTGTAAAGTCTTCCGTTGCATCCGCCCTCGATGGAGGTCGAATGTTCGAAATTGGTCTGGCCTTCACACCTTCGTCTGTGCCCTTGTCTCGCAAGGACTTTTCAACGCCACCACTCGTGTTCGCTGGTCGGGAGTAGCCCAACGCTGCCTTTGTGGAAGACTTGATCCCCTGTAGACCCATGAGCGGACGGGATTGCTTCGCAGTCACCATCAATGCTTGCAATGAAGTTCCTACCCATGGGTCATCGTCTCGATCTTCATCACTCATCCCTATATCTTCGTCGTTTATTTCTTCCATATCAGAATCATCAACCTGCGGCCTTCCAGCGTCCTCCTTCATCTTTTCCAATGCCTCTAGACGCTGCATATCTGAGGATTCGCGCTGAATACTCTTTTTGGTTGCATTATTCATAGACGTCTTCGGATCGGTAGGCCTTCGCTGGGTCATTCTCATCACCTTCGAGGCATTTGCCGTCTTGGCTTGCTTCCTTTTACGAGTATATTCGGCCTGATGCAAATGTGCCGTAAACGATCGAGCGGTTGACAGGAACTCATCCTCCACCATTATGTATTGATCGTCGGCGTCGAGGCCATCTATCATAAGTCTAGATCTCTGTGTTAGCCAGGTATCCCGTGTAGTGGCCGGATATTTCTAGGTCTGCGTACTCTTCAGAGGGCGGTTCTCTAACAGGCGAAGCTGAGCGTGTTCGATCTGCGGACACAAGTTAGCCATGTTCTGTACCAACTAGCGGATGTACCATGTCTGCAGATAGATGCACACGCTGGATTGTTCACTTACCGAGTCTACCTGACAGCGCAGTGCTTGTCGAGCTCCGCTGCGCTCCTAGCTCACGCTTGATAGGCCTCTCTGGTGTCGAGCGTTCCCGCTTCGGCTCGTCCAGTTCCCACGGTAGAACTCGGGGCATCGTATCGCCAATAGTAGCATCTTTAAAGTTGTGTGCTTTCAGGTAGGGGACGCTGCTGGCCGTAGTGAGTCTCGAGTTGTTGGTGGTGTTGACGTTTGTCGTCGTTTTTCGCTGGCAAGCCAACGATGTCACCAAAAGTCTAAATAGGCGCCAAACTTGACGTCAAACGTTCAGTTTACATCGAGATATCGTTTGACGCTTGAGTAACAACCTCTTTGACTGAAGTAAGGAGAGTCCGAGATACATCCATGGACTATGTCATCCTTCATCTCTTACTTTTTCCCTCAGAGTATCAACTGGACATGTTCAATGGTGGATGTGCGGCTCTAGTTAATAGACGGCTATACCTTTGGCAGAAGACTACAGAGTACAGCAGCGAGGAGAATCAATAAAGCGAGTGCTCCGTTGAGAATGGGCGATAAAACGAATACTGATTCTTGTAAGCGAATTGCTTGTGCCATAACCCACAGGAGTGCTGATTTTCTTTGGGAGTCAGGCAAGCTCTGTATTGCTGAGACAGTCGAATACCAGCTATCCTTGCATTCGGTTACAGAATGACCAATCGTCTAGCACAAGAGAAGACAGCAGGCCAGTTAACAGGCCAGATAATGGATCTATAGCAGGCGTTCTTAATAGCCAAGATGGCCCCTGTTGATCACACTGTGACATTTACACCGAGTTATCCTACTTGAAATTTCTGTCACTCGGCAGTACCCAGCGAACTCACGCATAGAAAACTTAACCACGGCCCTTCTATGTACCTGAGAATACAGTTAAGTATCAAACCATAGCATCTAAACTCCACGGATATCGATCGATGGATATAAGGCTATTCTATACAGCAATTGTTTCTCAAGCGGTGTAATAGCCGCATCGGTGCATCACTCCTGGCGATAATGCAGCTACATATGCATGTTAATATCGAAATGGTAACGAGTGATAGGCCTGGGCTGAAGCACCTGTTGGCAAGCAGGTAGGGAGAGTGGGTATTCAAATGAATCATCGGTGGAATTATGCGCCCTAATGTATGTCGCCATGGCTTCGACCAGCGTTTACCCTAGTAATCCATCGAGGGTTAGCCGCTTCCAGTCATTTCCGGGCCAATGATGGCGCTCTACAGCAGTCCCAGGTGTTGGCGAGTATGAAGAGCAAGGCGAAAATTACATAGGCACAAGAAAGTTCGAGCGGCGAGCTACACTTACCGCCAGATATTAGTTATCTAATTAATAAATAATATCTAGTAGTAAATACTTAATTATATATAGAGATACTTATAATATTAAATAATTAAAGGCTGAAAATTTTATTTTATTAAATTTAATAATTATAAATATAAAATTAATATTTTATAGCTAGTAATAGTAGAAGTATTTTATAATTACCTAGTTACTATAATAGAGTATTATATATTAATAATATAAACTTTAGAGGTATTAATATATAATTATACTATTATTAATATAATATTTTATAGATATAAATCTTTTATATTAGTATTAATTTAAGAAGTATTTTCCCTAAATACTTCTTTTCCTTTCCTTATATATAGGCTTTTTTTACTTTAAAAAAGCTTTTTATTAAGTATCTAGTAGTTAATATTGGATATCTAATAATTAAACCCTTTTTTAGTATTTAATTTCTACTATAAATTTTATCTAGAGGTAGATAATTCTATTACTTTAAATATTTATTCTTAAACTATATTTAGATATAAGGATAGATAGGTTGGATTAAACTCGGGAGGTTAGAAGTTTACTTATTATAGACGTGGGTAAATTTATTTAGATAGTAGGTAGGCTAAAGATAATATAGACTTTATCTACTTATCTATATAGGCTCTACTAAAAACCTTATTTAGGCTAAAAAAAGATAAGTAATAAATTCTCTTAAATATAGGATTTATTTATATTACTAAGTACTTACGAATTACTTACTAATTACTTACTAAATATATATTATTAAATATAAAAAGTAAATAATATATAATATAAAATTTTATTATATTTATAATTATTATTATTTATGTAGGCTTTTATATAAAGGGGTATTTATATTATTAATTTAGCTTAATATATATTATTTAATAGTAGATATTTTTTAGATAAGGCCCTATTATAGAGAGATATAGTAATATTTAAATAATTATAAGAATAAAAAATATAATAAAATAGTAGCTTATTAAATAATTATCTATTATTATTATGATAGTAGCTTTTAGAGTATTTAAAAATAATATATATTTAATTATTCTTGGGCTATAAAATATTAAAAAGTATTTAGTATATTTAATACCTTATTTATTATAACTTTTAATAAATAACTAAATAATAAGAATATACTTTTATTATTTTTATATAATAGATATATAATAAATAATATTATTATTTTTATATAATAAATATATAATAAATGATATATATATTTATAAATTATAATAATAAGTTTAGGCTTGATCTCCCACCCCTATAGGGGTGGGGGGAGGCCTTTTCCCCCCTAACCTACACCCCCTTGGGGG